ATCTTTTTAAGACCTTGGAGATGTTTAACTTTGGCCCTAAATTTGTTTCATGGGTGAAGTTGATATATACCTTGCCAATGGCAGCAGTTCGCACTAACAGTAATCTATCCAGCTATTTTGAATTGGAACGTGGTACGAGGCAGAGGTGCCCACTCTCGCCACTCTTATTCGCAATCGCGATTGAACCACTCGCAGTGGCTTTACGGAACAACCCTAAGATTAAAGGAATTATTATTATTATATTAGTAAAGAAGAACACTTAAGGTATATCGTGACAAGATTTATGTACATATGTGGAAAACCTATAAAGAGCCTTGTACTCCCCCGCTCTTTGCCTTCGTTCTCCATCTTTCTTACTTGGTGAATCATTTGGCTTGGAGGCCACAATTTGGTTTTTTAGGCTGTAATCTCCTAAACTACAAAATAAAGGTTCTTGCTGTTCAAACCAGCCTTGTTTTCAGAGTCCTTCTTCATTGAGCAACAGCATTTCCACTTCAACCAGAAGACGTGGTTTCTACACCTCATTACTTTTTTAATCATTCACATTTTTGTGTCAGTTTTGCTGTTTTTGTGATCAAAGGGGCAAAAAGCAAAACTGAAGCTGCATTTCTCATTAATCACACAACTCAATCACAAAATCGTCCTACAAAGGAAGAATTAGTCAATACACTAATGTGAACATTGTGTTCTAAAGTATGTCACAGATTGGCTTATACTGGAAAACAAAACACAGAGAAAGCAGAAGACATGGTTTCACTTTGAGTCAACATGGTCATACTGAACTCACCTGAAGGCAGCGGGAGCGCAGGAGGCTGCTGAGCAGGTGGCCTCTCTTGGAGAGCAGTCGGCCCAGCAGATCTCCCTTCACAGACCTGCCTCCCATGGTGCCGTACAGCACCCATCTGCCGTCCACGGCCAGGGAGCTCACATTTTTCTCCCAGTTACACCCACCGATGCTGTCAAGGATCACGTTTGCTCCTCTGCCTGTCAAATTGAAATTATTATCAACAGATATCATGTCACATTTAGAGTATGTGTTGAGGAAGACTTTCAGCTTCTACRACGTCAAACTTTTTACTCAATATTTTTAAAACTGATTGAGTTTGCCAAGTGGTGGTTCACAGTTTTATAATAATTTATGATCATTTTGAAGACCCCCTCCAGAAGCGTACAGAAAAATGTTGACTCTCACCAAGGAGGTCCTATAGAGCAGCTGGAGTGATCAGAAACCAGGTGACCATGTGATCGGCTGGTGAAGCTAACGGCTAACGCTAAACGAACAAAACTCTGGATTTCCCATCACTGTACATGTTAACAGAGCAGAAAAAAAGGACTGACGATGTAGAAATCATTAAAACTATTAATAAT